TTGGAGCAAGTTTAATGCCTAAGGTTTAGTTTTATTGGTGGAATTGTCCTTTTCTTTTGCAAAATTAGTGACTTGATACATCAAGAATTTTCCAGCTGTGTAGCTGCAGGTGCTGTTTAAAAGTATCTGGTTTTATGTGCATTGTAATTTTCATTTAAAACATGTGGTTTTTGGGTTGCCGTGAAGTTTCTCCTGCTGTGGGGAAGGGAACACCTAGGATCCAGGCTATCGCTAAACTAAGAAAGGGTTAGCTACACATCACCTCATCATAGATTTTGCTAGCCAATCAAGATTGATTTTGGGGGGTGCAGAACAAGGTGAGGTGAATCAACCTGAATTGTTTCCACATGCACTTCTCACATCCTTTTGATGTGCTTCGTAAGCTGGTTCGCAGATGCTTAGAAAAGCAGTTTATATTTTGTTAAAATTATTCAATCACATCAGCTAGCTGTTATCTCTCTCTAAATCCCCAATTAGAATAGTGCAAGTAGACCCAGGGAGGCCGACCTCTTTATCAGTGCAAACCCCATAGAATTCCAGGGTCAGTGTGGGGCTTGGGGTGTGCCCATGATGATCATCTTTCAGCATCAGGGTGTGACAGATGTGCAATTGCTATGTAATAATGTTATGAACACTGACACCTGGTCAATGTGGGGAAGTTATTGTATATTGGGGTATAAGAGTTTACTGTATGAATGCACTGATCTACCTTAATAGTGGGCTGTGGGAAGAACAAACAGGAAGAAGACAATGGCTCCAATAAGGACACCCTAACACACACCTAGAAAACTCTAGGCAAAGCTATCAACTTCAAGGACCTTGCATCCTGTCACCAAGGAAGATACAAGCTTGTTTTGCCAGGCTGGGAACATGGAGATCAAAAGAGATGGAATAACTTTAAAGGGGACTGTCCCTGAATCATGTGAGAGAAATGGTTTGTGAATTAAGGGAACAGACTATGCCAACCAGACCCTAGAGGTCTCAGGGTGTCTATAGGAAGCTTAGATCTACCAGAAGATGGTTAGACACCTGGTAAGCTGGAACTGCATGTTGGCTACTTCACTTTTTTTAAGATCTGTTTTCTCTTAAATACTTGTGTTCTAAATAATACCTTTGTTTTAGAAGGCTGTTTGGTCACAGCTTAATACGACCATTGCTCTGGTAAGGAACAGACTTGCAAGTACTGGACATAAATCAGACCACCTGGGTGACCAGATGTCCCATTTTTATAGGGACAGTTCTGTTTTTGGAACTTTTTCTTATATAGGCGCCTATTACCCCTTACCCCCTCTCCCATTTTTCCCCACAGTTGCTATCTGGTCAACCTAGCCTGAGGTAATCGTGGTTGATATAGGGGGGAGCTGCAGCCTAACACCCAGTCTGAACATATGAAAATCGTGTGATTCCACCCCCTACAGAGGGGGTGGCCACAGACTGCATAGGGAGTGCACCCAGAGGTGTAATTAGCCTGGTAATTTTGGTACAATTCCATCACCATGGAACCTCAAAGCCTTTCAAAGGCCTAGAATTTAAAAAACAAAGTCTAGTATCTCACATTCTGAGGTTCTCTCCCTGCTTCCCCCCTATAGGAATTTCATACCACACCTGCTGCTCTTTACCTTTAGGAGCACACCCCCTTTGAAGCTTTTAAGCTCCTCCTTAGCTTCTATTTGCAGTTGCTTTTCTTTTACGTTAACTCTTTCTTGGCTCCCGAGCGTCATGGCTCTGAGAATACACACATCTTGAGAAGAAGAAACACCCTTCTTGGTTTATAAGAGGAGGTAGCTACCTCCTACCACATTGCTGTCAGCACTGAAGATGGTACTAGGGAGCAGATCCTGGTAAATATCTTCCCAGGTCCAAGTTGGCAGCAATCTACCACAGACCATGGCTAAGCAAGGGTCTTCATTAGAAGTAACACAAAAGAATTTGCTCTTCAACCTGAGTAGATCTCAGAGGCATTTCAAAACCCCAAGCCTCACTTTTTAAGGAGCATAAAAGATGTTAGCACCCCAAAACCCAGTGTGCTTGGGTGCCCAACTCCTTTAGGCACCTTTGAAAAATTCCTTCCTAAACAGATTTGACAGAGGTCACATCTGCTGTTCTAACAAAAGAAAATTCGTTATTATAAAAGGAGAGCTACAAAAAAGGAAAGTCAGGCTACAGCTGCAATATCATAATCATCTAATTCGGCTGGAACAGAAATTAGTCACAGGACCTGCTGTCTAGGATAGGTTTGCCAAAGATGACTCAGCAAATTTTATTTACGGTGCAAAGCGAACAAAAACAACACTTAACAGGAATAATAAAATAAAGGTGTCACAGGGCACACCGCTCACAGTGCCTCCTGCTGGTCATTCTGGGGATTAGCTCATTCAGTCAACATGCTCTTCCACAGCTTGCACACCATTGTTCTATCTAGCCCCACGCTCTGCCCCACCCCCCCATCAGGAATCACAGCATCCTCTCCATGACCCAGCCTTCTGGCTAGGTCACTCAACATTCCCCCTTCCAGGGTGTATATTCCTCAGCAATCCTAGGCGGTCTTCCCATTCACTCCCTCAGTACCACTCCTGCAGTGGCTGGTAGGGGAACCCAGGCCCCCTTCTCTGGGTTCCAACCCAGGGACCCTCAGCTTAGCAGTCCTGGCTTCCTCTCTCTACTCTCACTGCTCCTTTCCTAGGCTGCTGCCTAGATCCCCTTCTCTTTCTTGGTCTACCAATTCTCAAAGCCTCCTTCCTCTTCCCAGAGAGTGACTACAGCCAACACATCCTGCAGTGCCCAGCCCAGCCCAGCCCAGCCCTCCTTGCCTTCTTCTAGGAGAATCTGCCCTTTCCCAGTAGCCCTCATTAGCTCCCATTTCCTTTCTTTATATGTCCTGCCCAGCTCCTTCCTCCACAGCTGGGCTCCCTTACTCACTCAGGGGATTATTTGCCTGCCTCATTCCCCTCAGCTGGGGTTAATCAGCTCATTTCTTGACCCTCATTAACTCTTTCAGCAAGTGGTATATAACCCATCACAGAAGGGTAGGGTTGCCATCTTTCTACTTGCATAAAACCAAACATCCTTGCCCTGCCCCTACCCTGCCCCTCCATTGAGACTCTACCCAGGCCCCGCCCATTCTCAAAGGCCCGCCCCCACTCACTCCACCCCCACCCTCACTCAATTGCTTAAATTCACCAGGCTGGCTCAGGGGGCTGGAGTGAGGGAGGGGGTGTGGGCTCTGATGTGGGGTTAGGGATGAGGGACTTGGGGTGCAAGAAGGGGCTCCAGCTGGGGGTTTGGGCTCTGATGTGGGGCCAGGGATGAGGGATTTGGAGATGTGGGAGGGGGCTGCAGACTAGGGGTGTGGGTTCCAGGGTGGGGCCAGAAATGAGGGGTTCAGGGTGAGGGAGGGGGCTCTGAGTTTGGGCAGGAGGTTGGGGTGTGGGGGGTGTGAGGGCTCTGGCTGGGGGTACGGGCTCTGGCTGGGGGTACAGACTCTGGACTGGGGATGGGGGTGTGGGGTGTAGGAGGATGCTCTGGGCTGGGACTGAGGGGTTGGGAGGGTCAGGTTGCGCTTACACAAATCAGAATGAGCATGGAGGAGTGTCCTGGCCAAATTCTGTCCTGACATACGTGCTATATTGCAGCCCCACTGACTTCAATATGATTTCACAGAATCAACATCAAGGAATTTGCTTCTATAAGATGAAAAGGGAGTAACCGATCTGTGTAAGGAGAGAAATGAGACTCCTACCCTTCCTCCCTGGTTCTCAGGAATCCGTAAGCAAAAACAAACTAGGACATGGGACAAAAATTATCCAGTCAGAGGAGGTGAACAAAAGTACATGAGTGGTGTATGCTGTTTTGGGCTTCTAAAGAAGCACTTCTATAACAGGGTCTTACCCATACCCCATTTCCACATTTAACCTGTTTCCCCATTTCCACAGTTAAATAAAGCTGCCACAACTGGTGTTTTGTAATTATTCTCCCCTTTTGCGGACAAGTTTAACAACATAAAACAGTTCAACTTAAACTAGAAATTCCCAGTCTTCTTCTACGGTTCAGCAGCTCATTGTGATCCTCCTGCACTCCTTATTACGCCTCTTAAGGGCTTTGGCTCCTGCCAGGCCTTTCCCTTTCCCCAGCTACAAAATTTACTCAACAAAGGAAAAAGAACTGAGTCCATAATCCTGCAACCTCCTACATAGAAGCAGATGCCTGGGCCTCCGAGAAGCCCCACGGATCGCAGTGAGCTCTGCATAGGTGCAGGAGGTCTACCCACACATATAGGGTGAAAATCCTGCTCCCACTGAAGTGAAGGGAAGTTTTTCCGTGGACTTCAACAAAGCCAGGATCTCACCCATAAACTTGCAGGATTAGGGCCCTTTTCACAACAGTGCAGAATGCATTGAAGGAATGATGCATATAAATGAACTTTTATTAAAACCACATTTTAATCACCTTTATCTCTGCAGAAACTTTTCCAGATATCTCCCTTCTACACCCCCTACCCACAAAAAAATTAGCAGAGAGTAACAGTGGGAGAAGATCATACACTATCACCAGCACTGAAAGCAGGTATTTACAGCAGTGAGGAGACCAAAGCTGGCTATATTTCGCAGTCATTATTATTATTATTGTGTTCCCTGATCTTGCACAGGCCACAAAACTAAGATGAAGATGTTTTGCACAGACAGGTGCAGTCAGTGCTGTGATTAATCAAGCCATAATTAGGGACCTGTCAGCAGGAGCTAAATATATGTTCTGGGACTTCAACATTGCTAGAAAATTTGTAGATGGAAAACTTGCTAGGCAGGAAATTCATAAAAATACAGAATCTTGGGAGGATGATGAGAAGAAATTATTTCCTCAGATTGTGATGATGGCAAGAGTTTCACTATTGCTCTGCATCTCTAAATATTTTGTCTTTATGCTCATTTTTGCACCTTTAATGTCATTTGACTATGTGGTTGTAATAGGTCAGTCCCACCCTCCAATCAGTAAAATAGACACAATTTCAGCATCAACAGCAGATTTATTGTTTTCCTTTTGTAGGCCATGTTGGTTCCATCCCATGGAGAGAGGGCCGGCTCCAGGCACCAGAGAAGGAAGCAGGTGCCTGGGGCGGCCAATAGAAAGGGGTGGCACTCGGTGCATTATTGGGGCGGCACGTCCAGGTCTTCGGCGGCAAGTCCTTCATTCCCTCTCTTCCTCTTTGGTGGCAATTTGGTGGCAGCTCAATCGGGTTTTTCTTTTTTTTCTTCGCTGCTTGGGGGCGGCAAAAAAGCTGGAGCCGGCCCTGCATGGAGAAACCCAGAAGAGGTCAAAACACACGCCGTAAATTCAACAGACCTCATTCTCCAAGGCCTTGTGCTCTGCATGGTCATTTACAGATGGGCAGAGTGCAAATAAAATGATGCCACTCTTGTGAGTTAGTGGAGAGCTGAACTTTAGGAGCATTTTATACCCACTGGGCACACTGTAACTGACTGTTCAAGGCAGTGAAGAGACAAGCCCTGTGATTTCATATTGACTGCAGTTCTGATTTCCCTGCCAGTGAAGGGTGGGGAGTCCCTTCCCTGGAGTGGGCAGGGGGCATTAGCTCTCGCAGCTATTGAACTGACAGGTGCCCTCACATAGGCCTGGCAGAAGCTGGACAAATGCATGCATATGGGACCCTGCAGGGAAGACAGTGCAGAAGACAAAAGTGACTAAATCAGACTAAATCACCACTTCAACAAAATGATTATGCAGGTGCCAGAAGAACAGTGTAGATGGACTCAAGATGGAGTCCCTGAAATGAAGTAGTGGAGTTTCAGAGGAGTAAGGAAACAGTGGTGTATGGGAAATCCATGTAAGTTAATGCTACATTGCAAGGGGTGAGGCTTCACAGAGCAGCTCTTCGTTGGAGAGGATGAGGCTGATGCCAATGGTCACAATCACCCTTGCACAGATTTTAAACACATTTGGTTGGGTTTTCTACTCACACATCCCCTCCCCAGACTGTTTCTGAGGAGACGCTCCATCCTGATGTGAATTTGATCCTTGATTTTACATTGCAAGACTCATTTTCTTTTTAAACCATCTCTGACTGATGTTAAAATGTGTACTGCTTGGCATGTGCCCTGACAACATGATTCATGAATCTGGAGGCTGTGAGTGATGTGTAATCAATATTGTGATTATATTCTAGAATGCACTTCTTGTTGTGGGTTTTGCTAGACTATGTACAATAAAAGGCTTCAAAAAATAAAAAAACACTGCTCCATAGAGAAGTCGGAGGGTTACAGATTCATGCCTTGGAATTTCTGTACTTTGATTCTCTGTTTATTGAGGTGAAAAATACAATTATATTATTGAATCAACAGAATTTTATTTTAAAATGAATGCTGGTTAAAAATGTGCGCAGATGGGATTCTGATTGCACTCAGAGTTTTATTAAACATGAGGGGAAGTGGCCTAATGTCATTTTAATTGTAGCTGCTCTTGGTGAGCACTATCAATGATTAATCAATCAACCAAAGGAGAAAGTGTGGAGAGGGGGATAAGGAGGAATCGATGGGCAGGAAAGGATGCGAAGTAAGGCCGACTTTGAATCAATGGTGTTGCTACTCATTCAGTTAGGCTGGTGACTGGGGAGTGCTCTTTGCATGAGCTCACTACCAGTGCAAAGAGATTGCTTCACAACAAAGACATTTCATCACTTTTTATTTATATTGATCTTGCAGCAAAGAGTCCGGGGATTCCCACAAGGCTGGGAAGAAAGATCTTCTCTTCTTTTCTCAGAGACACGACAAATCCTGCATGATGAACTTTGTCCTCTCAAAAGAAAGGAAGGGGCAGAGGATCGGAACTACCCAATCTGCCTGCTGGTAAGGAGTGAGATGGACAGAAGGAAAGTAAGTGTCAGGCTGAGCAAAGGGAAGGAAGGTGGGAGGGGGTCAGTGTTGGGAAAGCTGGGGCACTATTTAGCATGATGAAAGTTGTATTCATTTTTGTTGAATGGAACTAGAACGTCAGGAGCATTTTACATGAGATTGCAGCCTGAACCGATGCAAATCCTGGGTAGTCCATTTGATCCCATGCGGAGCTGCAGCTAAATACCTCATCTGAACCCATCTTGAAACTAAGGGCATGTCTACATGTACCATGCTGCAGCAGCACGGTTGTACTGATGCAGCTATGACACCGCAGCGCTTCTGGTGAAGATGCTCTGTGCCGATGGGAGAGAGCTCTCCCCTCAGCCTAATAAAACCACCTCCATCAAGGGCAGAAGCTACGTTGGTGAGAGAAGCTCTCCGGCAGACATAGCTCTGTGCACATGAGCGCTTATGTCAATGTAACTTATGTCGCTCGGGGAGGGCAGGGGGGTATTCACACTCCTGAGCAACATAAGTTATGCCAACATAGGCTGTAGTATAGACACAGCCTTAGACTTGTCTCCGTTGAGAACTGACCTGCCACCCAACCCATCACAGATGCTTCAGAGCTGAGGATTTGCATCTGAATTGCTCCACTTTCCAGGTACACTCTCGCCCTCCCCCAAAAATTAAGATACTGCAGATTTTAGATCCTAGTTCAAGTTCCGGTCTAAACTAGATTTGAATTTAAGGCCTCAAAGGGGAGGATCCCTTCTTCAAGCAAAGCACTAAAAAACTGGTGGAATAGTAGTCAAGACTGGAGTATGGGTATTGAAGGGTATGTGCTGTTTAGGAAAGACAGAAATAAAGGCAAAGGTGGTGGAGTAGCATTGTATATCAATGATGAGGTAGAATGTAAAGAAATAAGAAGTGATGGAATGGATAAGACAGAGTCCGTCTGGGCAAAAATCACATTGGGGAAGAAAACTATTAGAGCCTCCCCTGGCATAGTGCTTGGGGTGTGCTATAGACCACCGGGATCTAATTTGGATATGGATAGAGCCCTTTTTAATGTTTTTAATAAAGTAAATACTAATGGAAACTGCGTGATCATGGGAGACTTTAACTTCCCAGATACAGACTGGAGGACGAGTGCTAGTAATAATAATAGGGCTCAGATTTTCCTAGATGCGATAGCTAATGGATTCCTTCATCAAGTAGTTGCTGAACCGACTAGAGGGGATGCCATTTTAGATTTGGTTTTGGTGAGTAGTGAGGACCTCATTAAAGAAGTGGTTGTAGGGGATAATCTTGGTTCAAGTGATCATGAGCTAATTCAGTTCAAACTGAATGGAAGGATTAACAAAAATAAATCTGCAACTAGGGTTTTTGATTTCAAAAGGGCTGACTTTCAAAAATTAAGGAAATTAGTTAGGGAAGTGGATTGGACTGAAGAACTTATGGATCTAAAGGTAGAGGAGGCCTGGGATTACTTTAAATCAAAGCTGCAGAAGCTATTGGAAGCCTGCATCCCAAGAAAGGGGAAAAAATTCATAGGCAGGAGTTGTAGACTAAACTGGATGAGCAAGCATCTCAGAGAGGTGATTAAGAAAAAGCAGAAAGCATACAGGGAGTGGAAGATGGGAGGGATCAGCAAGAAAAGCTACCTTATTGAGGTCAGAACATGTAGGGATAAAGTGAGACAGGCTAAAAGTCAAGTAGAGTTGGACCTTGCAAAGGGAATTAAAACTAATAGTAAAAGGTTCTATAGCCATATAAATAAGAAGAAAACAAAGAAAGAAGAAGTGGGACCGCTGAACACTGAGGATGGAGTGGAGGTTAAGGATAATCTAGGCATGGCCCAATATCTAAACAAATACTTTGCCTCAGTCTTTAATAAGGCTAAAGAGGATCTTAGGGATAACAGTAGCATGACAAATGGGAATGAGGATATGGAGGTCGATATTACCATATCTGAGGTAGAAGCGAAACTCAAACAGCTTAATGGGACTAAACCGGGGGGCCCAGATAATCTTCATCCAAGAATATTAAAGGAATTGGCATCCGAAATTGCAAACCCATTAGCAAGAATTTTTAATGAATCTGTAAACTCAGGAGTTGTACCGTATGATAGGAACTATGTTAGCAATTCTCCAATTTTTAAGAAAGGGGAAAAAAGTGATCTGGGTAACTTACAGGCCTGTTAGTTTGACATCTGTAATAAGCAACGTCTTGGAAAAATTTTTGAAGGAGAAAGTAGTTAAGGACATTGGAGTCAATGATAAATGGGACAAAATACAACATGGTTGAACAAAAGGTAGATTGTGCCAAACCAACCTGATCTCCTTCTTTGAGAAAGTAACAGATTTTTTAGACAAAGGAAACGCAGTGGATCTAATTTACCTAGATTTCAGTAAGGCGTTTGATACTGTGCCACATGGGGAATTATTAGTTAAATTGGAAAAGATGGGGATCAATATGAACATTGAAAGTTGGATACGGAATTGGTTAAAAGGGGAGACTACAACGGGTCCTACTGAAAGGTGAAGTGGCAGGCTGGAGGGAGGTTACCAGTGGAGTTCCTCAAGGATCAGTTTTGGGACCAATCTTATTTAATCTTTTTATTACTGACCTTGGCACAAAAAGTGGGAGCGTGCTAATAAAGTTTGCGGATGATACAAAGCTGGGAGGTATTGCCAATTTAGAGAAGGACTGAGATATCATACAGGAGGATCTGGATGACCTTGTAAACTGGAGTAATAGTAATAGGATGAAATTTAATAGTGAGAAGTGTAAGGTTATGCATTTAGGGATTAATAACAAGAATTTTAGTTATAAGCTGGGGATGCATCAATTAGAAGTAATGGAGGAGGAGAAGGACCTTGGAGTATTGGCTGATCATAGGATGACTGAGCCACCAATGTGGTGTGGCCGTGAGAAAAGCTAATGCGGTCTTGGGATGCATCAGGCAAGGTATTTCCAGTAGGGATAAGGAGGTTTTAGTACCGTTATACAAGGCACTGGTGAGACCTCACCTGGAATACTGTGTGCAGTTCTGGTCTCCCATGTTTAAGAAGGATGAATTCAAACTGGAACAGGTACAGAGAAGGGCTACTAAGATGATCCGAGGAATGGAAAACCTGTTTTATGAAAGGACACTCAAGGAGCTTGGCTTGTTTAGCCTAACTAAAAGAAGGTTGAGGGGAGATATGATTGCTCTCTATAAATATATCAGAGGGATAAATACTGGAGAGGGAGAGGAATTATTTAAGCTCAGTACCAATGTGGACACAAGAACAAATGGATATAAACTGGCCACCAGGAAGTTTAGACTTGAAATTGGACGAAGGTTTCTAACCATCAGAGGAGTGAAGTTTTGGAATAGCCTTCCAAGGGAAGCAGTGGGGGCAAAAAATCTATCTGGCTTTAAAATTAAACT